GATTCAAATATTCCCCTTAACACCTCATTCTCTCTTTTTACTTTCAAGAGCAGAATGCCAAAATATGCATTCAGGGAAGACTATGGATAAACGTCATATACATATGTCTAGTGCAACACAAAAAGCAACTGCAACAAGCAATAATGTATGTTTTATAAGTTGAAGTAACTGACAACAAAAACTATGACTGGAAGCACTACAATGATGAAAGTGTTATCAATGCAAAACATATGCACTATCAAGCAACCGCTAACTACACTCACATATGCTCTTCAAGAACACTGACTTTTTGTTCAGACGTTGGTCTCATCATATCAGACGATCACATTCTTATACTGAACATTTACAGTATGTAATTTCTTGTTATTTTAATGCAAATTATACTACAAACCCATTATCTATGCAAAATGTACTTGACAAAAGCAGAATACACTCTGGACAGAATTTATGACCATCACTGGAACATCTCGTCATGGTTCAGCACAGCTTCCCTGCAAAAAGAATCACCATCACCAACTGACACTTCCGACGTTGCTGCTGCCACTTCCAGTCTTACCTCTTCATATTTCTTATCTGCCTCCTCGGCTATAAGTTTAGCCTGAGACAGTTGTGCTTCAAGGATAGCTACGCGGTCATCTTCCATATTGGTACGATTCTCCAATGCCTTCCGTATCCTATAAGCACAATGGATACTGTTATCACCCAATCTTACATACTTACAATACCACATTTCAGATCCAATGTAAATAATAGATACCTTCAACTTTGCTGATTGGAGAAATAAAATTCAAATTTTCCAGTTTTTCTACCACCACACATTCAAAAATTTTGTATTATCAGAAAGATATCTGTTCTAAGAAAATCTTTAATACTATATTTGTGCACTGAACATCTGCATAATGTGGACAATAAAAAGTACTGCCTTCAGACGATGTATTATATCCAATAATTTTAGTTGATTTCAGTTAATTTACAAATTCTAGTAACATAAGCACTATAAAATACAAACTAAAATAAACAAAATAAAACATGGATTCATTTATCACTTCTATACAAATTTTAAAACTCCCCATGAACAAGTACTTGTGCATATTTCTTAAAAACTAATCACAGACTATATTCTAATCGGCAAACAGTGTGTTGTCTATGTTTACATGTAAGAATAATAGTAAACACAATAATAATAACTCATTATGTTTCAATTTTTCACTCCAAAAAAATGTCTATAGTGTATCTAAATCTAATATGGGGATATATAATTTTATATGTGGCCCGCGGAGTTATGATGCATTTCCAAAGTGGCCCGAAAGATCATTTGGGTTGGCCCAACCTGTTCTAATCAATTCTACCATATTAATCAAACTTTTACTCCGTGATACATAATATCAATTAGAACTTCCTCTTCATTCCACATAAAATATTAACATTATGCAGATAGTGACACACTCTAAGGCAGTGGTCCAGAAATACAGCTTAAAAATGTAGCAGCCACTTGATAAAAAACCCATTTGCCCACAGTATACTTCATACAAATATTTCTATAAAACATATTTAAAAATTTAAAAGAAATGCTTTAAAAACTCATCATTAAATAGTTATATCAAAAACAATTCAATTAAGACTGCTAAAAAGTTACCACAGCCACAATTCCCCAGCAATTCAAAAACGGTAGGGATGGACAAGCTTATTTCATGGGTCCTGTCTTATGTCAGCACACTCACCCAGGGCCTTGATGTATGCATTAGACAGATTTTACAATGCCTTTATCATCAAAAAAGGCAAAATTCTGTACTGTTAAAAAATGGTAGCAGAGAATAAACTATGAAACATCATTATTCCACATTACTTCACACTGTCCAGCATGATACTATGTTGTAACTTGTAAACCGTTCTAAATACATCCTGTAAAAACCTGTAGCTACCAACAACTTGCTACTGCTTACACGTCTATTACAGTATCCAGAGGGACTGTTAAAGAGCCTATTTGTAACCCTTATTAGAATACTTCTACACCTAAACACTTGCATCAAAAACTGAACAGAACTGTGCATTCAGTAAGCTGGGGATTTAGATCTCCAGAATCTTCTTTCTATGAAACAAAACAAGGCTCTAACTCCATTACAGTCTAAAGTATTACCATATACATCTGCTGCTACAAAATCAATAAAACTGAAGAGGAACACTGAATTTAACCTTTAATTCCCTCAGGATTATGAATTTCTATCATATGGGAATACAGAATTTAAAACCCCATACTATGCACCTGCTGGTTGAACTTAACTCAGGGGTTATCTGTTTAGTGGTATGCTATTGTAACACAGCCAGTTGGGCCGCATAAAATGTGATGCACAGTCGATAAAGGTTAACGAAAATGGCCAAAGTTATCATTCACCTCCACCCACGGCAAAGGGTAACATCCACATCCCATACATTTTCACAGTGTGGTGCTTAAACAAAGGACAGCTTTATCTTTGCTTTATCATCATGGACTTCTTGCTATGAGGTGCAATACATCTGTTCCCACTAATGAATAAGGTAGACATAATTAAGTTTCCAGTGATTGTATTAGCACAGACTGAAGAGCTTCATAGACATATGGAAATTTTTGCAGCTTTTGGAAGTAGACACATTTTTCATGCAAGAACAGATTTAAATCCCAGTGCTAGGGGGGTTGCTTGTAGGATTTTAACTCTAGGGAGAGTTTAAACATATATGGTACACCATTGCAACACATGACCAGCTGAACTGTAAATATTATTAAGAATGCTGAGAATTATGGCCTCTCTCCAGAGGAATTCTATTCATAAATTTAGTGTCCCCCAAAACCTTCACTCCATGCTGAAAGTATATATAAAATTAATTTCAAAATCTTTCAAGTCTATCTAATCTACTGCTACATAATTTTATTAAGTTTGCTCAAGATAAATTATCACGTAGCACTTCTCACTCCATCTCTTCTGACTCACGTGATAATAGATGCCAAACTGTAAAGTTATGTCTAGCTGCCAACATAGAAGACTTATTTATTACCTTTCGATACTTACTTGGGTCAGAACTACCCAAAAGGGCTGGTAGCTGACAGACAAGTTTTCAATACCAATGTCATTATGCAGTTAAATATTCAACTACCATTGTTTCAATTCCACCCCTTAACACATATTTCACACACTGTCAAGTTTCTTTATTCTAAAGACCTAATACCCCAGAGGGGCCAAGATTTACATAAAGAATGAACCTCACTTACGAGGTGCGATCGGAAAGTTTCCAGACTGCGCCTATAAAAACCCGTACACTTATCTCAGGTA